CTCAGACAACATGTAACACTTTATTTCAAAATTATAAATGTAGAGCAAAGAGGGAAAGCCATGTTCAAAGGTCTAAGGAAACACCTAGCTTCAAAAAAACCCAAACAATCAAAAAACACCTCAACTGAGAAAGTTAATTACTTCCCTATTTTATTTTTTAAAAACTCTCCAAAGCCTCCTATTACAAACCGAACATTAAAGAACACATCATAGATCTAGAGCCTACTTAATGGAATATATTAAAATATGAGACACACATTAATGCTGCAGAATTTTCATTCAGTACAAAGAGGCACAAAGATTGAAAAGACTATGCACCTGGATGGAAGGGAACAGTCTTCCCAGTACCTGCTGTGCAAAAATGACAGGAAAAATTCTGTTCTTTCAACCACAAAGCGGCAGAGCCAGAGGATTCTAGGAAATCAACCCTTCCCTGAGAGCAGCTGAGCCCACTCCAAGTGCAGTAGGTCCTAAAAGCAGGGGAACACAGCAAGGAGCTGGGATTCTGCAGTTCAAGAACGGGGACAGGAAACTGTCAAGAGAAGCAGTGAGCAGAAACTGTGTCCTTGTTGGAAGAAAGCATGTTCTGGACTGTGATGGCAGTTGAGCTCGAGACAGAGCAGTGAAACACTGAAATAGGCTGTCCAGAGAAACAGCAGAGTCTTCTTCATTGGAAATACGTGGGACTCAATTTGACAAAGCCCTGAACAATCTGATCTAAGGCCCTGTTTCAAGAGGAGACTGGCTCAGGTGAGATCCCATCCAAGCTGGATGTTTCCACAATACTGTCAGTATGCCTGTTCTTTCAAAGATGAGATCAGAAATGTCCAGGATCTGCAGACCCAGTTCAGAAATGTTTTCAAGCACCTGTGCATCTTCAGCCATGCTCTTCCTTTCCAAGTAATATTGGCACATTTCAAATCAAATATAAACTTTGGAGTTTTTCTAGTTTGAGAGTGACAGTGTCTCGATTTTTCCAAGCCTTTATCCATGAAACTTCTAGTCTCCTCTCTTTATGTCAGCTTCAGTTAATATTTGCAAAGCAACTGCAGACTCTTAAAAAATAGTCACTATACAGCTAACAGAAACTAGCACTTGGTCTGACACTTTTTCCCCTGTTATCATAGCACACAAAACTTCATTTTTTTTAAATGGCATGATTTTACATGAATGCTTGCAATAAGTCCCCCGTCAAATAAATAATATACAAGTATTTTCTTGATGAGTCGAGTGATCATTTACAATCACATTTCCTTTAAAATTCTGAATCTGGAGGTTCTGTTATTGTAGCTTAGAGGAAAGGCAATGGGAACTTTGCAAAAGAGTGATATGAGCGATACACAAGATACAGAGAAGCACTTATTTAAACAGAACACCTGTATGAATATTTCATTCAATTGCTCAAGGGATTTTTTTTTTGTTTGCTTTTATTAAGAGAAATAACAGACTATATCACAAGCTGCCACCACCACCCCCCAGGGCATCAGGCTGCCTGTTTCTCTGCTGTACAGCAATGAATTTGCTCATTGTGACACTGCATGTTCTGTCAGCACAGTTTTCTGCCTCTGCATTTGCCTGAAACAGTACCATGTAGTAAAAGTACTATGAACAACAGTCATGGCTGGGCTTCACAAATGAAGATTTGGGGAGGGCTCTACCCACGTTTGTCACAAGCGCGTTGGTGGCTGAAAAGGCCAATATGAGAGAGGCATGTCCAGTTGCAAAAGGCACAGCAGAAAGACTCCTTAGGTGGTATATTCTGCAAGACACGATTCTTTCTGCATCGTCTTTTCTCCTCAAGGGTGATCCTGCGTGCGTTCTCAAAAGCATCAGCAGCGTTACAGATGAACAACAGTACTATGAAGTAAAAGTACAAATTTGGAAAATTTTGCTCTTTTTCCTGGTTAGAGCTTTGGAGACAGGTGGAGAGGACAAAGCAAAGAGGGCTTTATCAGGAGATTGGAACAGCAAAAATACCTGGCAATCAGGTTAAGAATAAATATGAACGGAAAAGTAAACATCACTAGATCTGGTGCTCCAAGAGAAAGCAGAACAACTTGGGAGACAGACGTAGAAGAGATCCAATGGGTCAAGCCTTCTAATCAAGCCTCATTTCCTCAAACACTAGCTAGACCCTCACCAATTCTTTGACACATACCCAGTGGCACAAGCCCTGTCTGACCTCATTACTTATTTTAAATACCTTAATAGCTGTCCAGTGTATACTGAAAAACAACCTTTTGGAAATCTTGCTTTGCAGAGGGATTACAGTTTCACCACTTGTGCAGCATAACTCTTTGCAATAAATAATTTATTTTAGTAATCCTTCCAGAAAATTACATTCCAGAAATAATAACTAAAACTAGTTATTCAGAAACTATTTTGAACACCTGAGTGAAATTTAACTGAAAAGAAGTCCATGAAGCAAAATTTTTTTCTGCTATTACTTGAGTCTTCAAGACAAATAATCAGAAACCAATAATGAAAAAGCTTTCTTATAAATATATTATATATTTTATTATCAGGTCACTCTTCCTAAAGTGTATTATAGCTTACAGTTCACTTTAAAGATTGAAATGTTACATCTGTATAAACAATACAGCATGACTAGTGATAGTATTAAATTTGTATGATAAGGACTAATTTTACTGTGTGAAAAACAGAAACATACTTTCAGTTAAAAGGTAGTAAAATCAGTATAAATTATATTGAGAAATTCGTCCAAAGAACCTTTAGTAAGCAGTTCACAACAGCACTGCAAATTTACCCTGCATTCCAGTCCTTGCTCCCTCTCTCATTATTTGTCAAAGGAAGAGAACTCAAGCCACACAAAACTAAATTAAATTTACTTTTGGATGCTGAGAACTCAAAGTCAATAGAATAGCATATAAGTTTGTACAGAGAGACTGCTTCAGTATACAGTAGGAAGATCCACAGTATTTCATTATGATGATTATGAAAATCATTAGGTCTATTACAACAATAAAAAAAATCCAGAAAATTTAATTGCTGAAGCAGAATCTACTTTTAAATATTTATTTGAAAAATAAACAGATAATTCTCCAGTCTTGAGTTTCAATGATTAAATAAATATCCTGTCTAACTCTTAACAAATTCACAGTACCTCATTTTATAAGAAAATAAGCATCTCCTTCAGTTAAGATGTATTGAAGGTACTTCTAGCATCATTCTAAAATCTTATTTAAATTCTGCGGAAGCTGACAGCTTCAATATTCAAATCAACAACAGGAGAAACTGGTTCTGCAAAATCCAAATCTTTAATTATTCCTCAGGTTTTTCTGAGCCAAGTTCCTAAAAGTATTCCATTTCCTTAGAATTAAGTGCAAACTCTACCAAGTGCAATAGCATTAGATCATACCGAAAACAACCTTAGAGTTTCGTGTCCAAATTTTCATCTGTTTTCATCACTATAACCCTGCCTTTAGGACTTAGGGGAATTAAACCAATCCATAGACTCACCAGTATCAGCCTAAATAATCACAACTGCTATTTTTTAAAAAATCTGCTCCTAGTCTTTGTATTTTTTTCAGTTTGTCATTTTTAAATAGCCATAAGTTTATGCATTTGGTAGTAGTTGATTTAGGCCATGTACGAGCCTATGATCTGATGCACAGGGATAAACCAACTGCATTGACAGTATACTCTGGTTAACTCCATCCCAGCCAGGCCCAGCACATGTGGAAAGCCATGACCACCAGGAACATGATTATGCAAAAAGTCACTATTAAAAGAGGAAAAAACCCCCAAATGCAAAAACAATTGAGTAGAAAGCTAGTTTTCAAGTGTCAGTAAAAAGGAACAGTGTTACAGCACAGGAAATGGGCTCACAGGCAACAGAACCAAGGCCACTAGAATTAAGATGAAAAATGAAGACCTAGAATAAGCTTATCTCAAACAAGACATGAAACCTATTTTCTTGAGGATGTTATTATGAGATAAACATGAGGGGGAAAACTGATTTGTATTTCTATTTCACCCATCCCAGATATACACTGAAAACACTGTACATTACAGCAAGTTTGAAGAAAGTCACCTCTTTCTCTCACCCAAATTATAAACTTTAAATGCAATTTACAGAGTTGGACATAGTTGCATTTACATTAGAAAGATCAAGTCAGAAAAATCTCCAAACTCTGCATTTAAAATAAGAAAAAACAGAAACAAGCCACTTTCAGTTGTTTATGACAAATGAAATTGAAGGTCATTGTAGATAATTTCCTTACTTTGAGGTGACATAATAAAGACTAATACATGAATAAGCTTTCATTGAACTACCTCAAAAACTGTTACAAGAGTAATAGAAATCTTGTTTTGTATTAAATCAATCCCCAGTACTCAACAAAAAAGAGAAAAAAATACAAATTTTGAATACAGTAACCCTCTCTCATCTGTCTGTAGTCAAAGCAAAATTTCATGGTTCTTAATACTCAGAGAATGACAAAGTGACTGAGATTCAAAGCTGATTTAAAAAACCCCAAAACAGACACAAAAGCCGAACAGCAACCCCCCAATCACAACAACAAAAATAAACCCAGCTAAACAAATACAAACACACAAACCAATAACAGGCAGCTTCTAGTGTTCAATTGCAAACTGCATACATTTCAGTGAAGGAAATTACACTGCAAAACTGATTTTTGATTATTTGATCTCACATAAAGACTTACTTTTTAATTACATTTGAAATTATTTGTATTATATTTGATTTTAAAACAATTTTACTCAAAGAAGCAGTCATTATCTTAGCTTGAAAAACAGCAGTTGCTGTATGTAAGTTACAGAAAACTACGCTAATTTCCATGTGCAGATAAATGTCATGGTTCTTCAGAATTAAATAGTCAGAGATGTTATCATCACATCATCTCAAGAAATCAAATTACGTTCATATTATACTCCAAGAAGGAGGAAAAAATAAATCAGGATAATTCTAGCAGAGCAAGCCATTACTGTATTAGTGACAAAATGCCAAAAGGACTCACCTGTTCAATCTCCTTTGTCTTAGTTGCAATTGCTTTTGAGCGACCAAGAAACTGGCCATCCTCATATAATTCCGTACTATCTGTTATATTTGCTTCCGTTTCCCCTGTTTGTTCGACATATAATGGAGCTGAAGATCCAGCCTAAAACAACCACAAACAATAAATTCAGTTTTGAGAGCAAAATAAAAACCTTAGTGTGAGGAAAAAAAATAAAATCCCAAATGCAGTCATCAGGTCGATATGGAGTTTGCTCATCAAGACTGTTAGTGAAGTATTATTGCTACAATCTTAACAGATACAGAAATAGGGATTTTAAACAGGTAGAAAACATGACATCATAAAAACCTTTCTCTAACACAGCCTTACATTCCACAAGCGTGAAACAGAGGAGGAAATGTGATGCTTCCCAAGATGTTTTCATTTTCCCTCAAATTATTTACAAGCAAATAAAAAAATACATATCAAACCCATTAATTGTAAAGTTTAAGACACATGACTTTGTAAAGTAGGTCCTATTTTGTTTTTTAAAGAGTGTCTCTAAAGTTGAAGCCAAGTGAAAGCCAAAGAGCAAATTACCACAGAATTAAAACAGGTAATTTAACATTACATGACTTTTGGGTTGTTTTAAACGATACATCTTCTACTAACAATAACCGAATCAAAAAAGTACCTCCTACCCAAAAGTAGCATAACAAAACAATGACTAAGGGTTATAATCACACTTCAATATAGCCACTGGTAGAAGACAAGGAGGGGCAAGAACAGATGGGAATAAACTAGCAAATAATTAATATTGATTATTAATGAAATAAGGGTTCCAGGGGAAAACAACACATCTACCCCTGCAGTATCAAGGCGAAAACTTAGTTTTTAATATAGAGGAGGACTACTTTCTGAAAAAGAATACATGACACGGTAGGCTGCCATGGCATGAAACTGAACTTAATAAACCAGAGTTTCTCTTCTAAGTCTTATATTTTATACGTACACTCATGTTTTGACTCGGAAGTCCCTTGGTAATTTTAAGGAGTTCAGTAGGCATACAGAGCTACACTGCTACAAGAGTTCCTTGGAGAATCCCCAGGACAGTTGGAGCCTCATTGTGTCAGTTGTAGGTCAACATGAATTTAAATTATACTAACAAAATGTACTCTGGCTTTGTCTATTTTTTCAAAATAAATAAATAAATCCCAAGACTTTAGTCTCCCTCTCACTCCCTCCCAACAAATATTTCATAGCATAAGCAGAAAAATTCAAGAGTAAGTTACAAAATGTGCTTTTCAGAAGAATACAGAAAAACAAAGAGTCTATCATTGTAACATTTTAAAACAAGTGGATTAATAATCATATCTTACATCATACTCTGTTATTTCAGGTAAATTGCTTTCCTCAGCCTTCTCTGACTTTTCAGCTGCCCACTTGCTTGCAGCTTCTGCAAGTTCCTTTTCTGATAGTCTGTTGCTCTTCTCCAAGGCCTGTACAAAAACATTATAGTCAAGATTTAACATGAAATACACTTACAGCAAAACATCTTCAAAATTGATTTAAGGAGTTACTCAGATCTCTAAAACATTTTAAAATAGGAAATAAGAAAGTTGAAATTATTTCATTTGCTGACGGATTTCTTTAAAGAAAAGTAGGTGGGGAAAGAGCAGATAATAAAGCAATAAAGGAAGAGGAGAAAAAAAATAAATCAATGAAGTTCAGTAGACTGATAAGAAACCACCACACTTTCAGAATCAGTTTTAGTAAATTCACAGGTCAGAGACAACAGAACAATTATCTGAGACCATTTGGAAGCTAAAGGAAGTCAGACAAGTGTGGAGTGATGTAATAATTCAATGTGATTTTCAGGCATAAAAGGTTGTAACAATTTAAATTAAACTATTAAATACTAGGTAGGGTATACAACCTAAGCAAATTAGGGACAAAAAGTATTTTATACATACTTCAAGTGATCAGTGTTGGTTCCATTAAAAGCAATTATTTTTTCTGGGGGTAAAGCTGATCATTTATAACAGAGTCAGTCATGGTTTTATGGCCTTTAATTCTACCTTTTCATACGGAAATTCTTGTATAAATAATATTTAAAAATTGATTTCTCTCTAAGAATACTATTTTACTATCAGAGCAGCAAACAGACAATGACAAATACCAGTTTAGGAATAGCTAGCTTTATAGATCTAGTTACCACTATCGTGGGTACTTAATTTGAATTAACTGTATGTATAGAAGCATCCACCCAAGAATCTATACCACTCTAGCTTTAAAAATTGCAACACTAAGATGGATATCTAAAGAAAAAAGATATACTCCTGAAAAGGCTGTAACAATATCTACTTAATACCTGTTTCATCTCAGCAAACAGGTACACAAAAAACCTCACACAAACAAAAACCCAAATGAAAAAAACAATGCCCCCTCTTATCATTAGTTCATTCTAGGTTACATAAATGGCCAGTGGAAACAAATGCTGTGACCTGTATCAAGACTGCTTTGTCTTCAGATGTTTTCTGTTTACCTCAAGTAAACTATTATCCAAACATGTCATTGTGCTTTAGTATGGCATAAGTACACAATTCACAGAACTCTTCCAGAATTCGGTGTCATAAAGACACCACCTTTATCTGCATCCAGAAGAGAAGTGCAACATGATGTTCCATCAGGAATCCCTCTTTTCTATAACTGCAAATTACAGAATTACAACCAGCAAAGTCAGGAAGTTCAATATGCAGGAGTATGAACAGGGCTCTTAAAAGCAAGGAATAGGACACAAACATAGAACAGCTGGCCAGCTCACCTCTCCAAACTATACAATTATTCTTACACTAGTCTAACCAAAAACTATCTGCTGCCAAGTTTTTTTCCCCCCAATGTTCCTATTTCCCATAGTATGTCTGACTTTTATTTTTACCCCGACTTTTCCCTAGCTGCCAAAAAATCTTGTCCTGTGGTTCTATTATTAATGTCTCCCTTTTCTCAAATATAGCTCTGTCCATTACTAACAAAAAACCCAATATCTTCATAACCAACAGTCAGCTTTGCATGAAATGAAGATAAATAAAATCTCACACGACCTACTATATTTCCACAAGCCATAAAAAGAATCTAATCACTCTAATATCTAGTGGAATACAGACAAAAAACTGTTGGATTTAATCTCACTAAATTTAATTCTATAGGTCTGTACAAGTTTCGAGCTGGCTTCCATACCAAGGATGCAAGGGGCTTCTGGCCCCGTCACAATGGGACGCTTTTCCCATTGGTCTCCCGTCAAGCTCATGTCTGCCTCTACTACTGACAATTCTTGAGACCCTCCGGTCACTCCAGAAATAGTAACAGTCTCGGTACTCTTATACTCTGAAGGCATTACAGTACACTGGGCTCCAGTATCTATCAAGGCCTGGTATTTCTGAGGATCCGATGTGCCAGGCCATCGAACCCACACAGCCCAGTAAACTCGGTTATCTTCTTGGTCCCTCTCCTTCTCCTGGCAGAAGGCAGGGCCCCTCTACTGGTCTTGATCAGAGCATTCGTCGTCAGAGTTTGACTTTGACTTCTTAGACTTTTTGCTGTTGTCAAAGTGGACCTTCATCTTCTCGTGTTTCGGTGACCGCAGTTTCTCTTCTAAGAAATCTCCGTCTACTACATAGACAACTTTCTTGTCAGTCTTCTTTCGCTTCAGCTCCCTCACTCTAGCTTCAAGCTTAGAAGTGGGTTCACCATCCCACTTCTTCATGTTTTCTCCTTTATTACGAAGGTACGCCCATAGTTGGTTACGTGACCAACGCTTAGAGTTCTCTTTCCTTCGACGTGTGAATGACAGGGACCGTGAGCGAGATCGAGACCAGGATCGAGGTCTAGGCCGAGGTCGTCTTTGTCGGTCCCGCCGTGATCTTCCCATTGGCCTTTCTTGGTAATCTCTATACCTTCTGTCCTCTCTGTCTCTAAGGTCGTCCTCATATCTGGAATATTCATAATCTCTCTCCATTCTTTCCCTGTCGTAGGTGCGTCGGTAGAGGGGATTGAAGGAGTCTTCCATATTTTCCTCTATGGTTCTTATCCAAGTACACATGGTTTCCACGTTTGGTTCCTCCATCTTTGGATTATATGCGGATATCAAGCAGGAAACATATGGTTTAGGAGCACCTTGAATTACCTTTTTCCACATTGGTTGCGTGCAGGGAACACTCTCAGGAACTTGGATGTCATAATAATCTGGATCAGAATAGATGATCTCCAGCATGGTCAATTCCCGTAGGTATTGGATGCCTTCTTCTGCAGTTCTCCACCTTCTTGAAGAACTCTTCAGGGACTCCTTAAATGGGTATTTCACTCTCACCGCGTGGAGGATTCGGAGCCAAAGGCTGGACGCCATTTTCTCTCTCCCCATTTCTTGCTTTATCACTGGGTCTCGAGCAATGGATCCCAACTGTCGTGCTTCATCACCTTCAATTACATGACTATCAGCTCCCTTGTCCCAGCATCGCACCAGCCAGGTGAGGACTTCTTCACCAGGCAAGCGCATATAATCTCTCCGTAAATCTCGAAGCTCTCTTGTGGTCAGTGATTGTGTAATTTCACTTTCTTGCATTATTTCTTGTCCATCTCTCCCACGTAGAATCTTTTCCACCTCTCTCTTTACTCTTCCACTCCTACGTGGGACTGCTCCCACTTCCTCCCTATATCTCTCATGTGGAGGTGGAGACTGGGCATGCCATGGGGATAAACTTCTATATTGTTCACGCCGCGGAGATGGACTTCTACGTCGTTCATACCGTGGGGATGGACTCTTACGCCGCTCGTGCCGTGGAGATGGACTTCTGCGTCGTTCACGCCGTGGAGATGGACTTCTGCGTCGTTCACGCCGTGGAGATGGACTCCTGTGTCGTTCACGCCGTGGAGATGGACTCCTGTGTCGTTCGCGATACCCCGCGGGTGGAGGTAGTGAGTAATCTTTCGCGTGCTGAGATAAGGGCCTCCTCCTCCAATCATTCACACCTCCAAGAGAAGGTTGGGTCTGGAGGGGTAGGGATAATTCCCCCCCCCATTTGAGGGGAATGCTTTGGCTCCTTCTTTGCGTCTTTTGCAACACTGAATGTGTAGTCAGGGTATAAATCATCAAGCGACAATACACCACCGGTCGTTTGTACTGTTGCTTTCTTTCCTTTTGATGCCATTCTGTATTCTTTTGGGCGTGCCCCTAGTTCCTTTGGACGTGCTTCTTCCCGTGTAGCCGTTTCTTCCTCTCTGGTAGCTACTTCTTCTCTTCCAATCGCTCCTTCCTCAGTCACAACCACTTCTTCCTCTCTTGCAGTCGCGCCTTCATCACTTGCTGTCGCGCCTTCATCACTTGCTCTTGCTCCTTCTCCCATTGCTGCCGCTCCTTCGTCCACTACGTCCTCTGTTCCTTCTTCTTCTTCTTCTTCTTCTTCTTCTTCTTCTTCTTCTTCTCCTCTTTCTTCTGTGCGTTCTAGTTGCGGAGATGGGTCCGTAAGTTCCTTGATCTCCCTTACCCACGTCTTCTTCTTCTTTATAGGGGCAATGATGACCTTCCAGTTCTTAGCTTGGGTCCCAGTTCTAGTGGACTTAGTAGAAATGGCATTGACTTTAGGTTGTGTTTGGACGCCAACTTCTGTGGACCTAATAGGGACATCACTGGTTTCAAGTGGCGTGGTTTGGGTCTCTGTGTCGACCTTAACCCTCTGAAGGTGGTCTATGGCAGCTCGATAAGCATTAGCCAGGCCCCAGCACAGAGCGGAGAATTGCATATTCGGGTCTTTGTAGGAAAAGCACCCTTCTGCCAAACAGCGGGCCATCTCACCAGAATCAAACATTTGTTCTGGTGTGAACTCCCAATTAATGGGGGGTGACACATGTCCTACTAATCTACCGAAATCTTCCCAAGCTCCATGCCACCCGGAGACTGGCCTGTCTGCAACCCTTTCCAAAGTTCCAGCGAGTCCCTTTGAGGTGTGATCTTTCCTACAAGAGGGAAAGCAACGGAACCCCATTCTTCCAAGTTTAAGGAGCACTTCCAGTATCTTTATCAATGACAGTATGGTTGCGATAAGATTTACATAGTAATTAGAGCCGATTTTGACCATGGGGATCTCCTTTACCAAACCTTCGATGTCAAAATTCAAGGATGGAAGCAATTTGTTCCATCCATCCTCAAGGTCTGGACGCCTCCCTATAGAGTAGCCTAACACAGGTGTAAAGATGGTTAGAATTATAAGACCAATTAATGAAATAGCCATTGTTTTTGTTATTATTTCTTCCTGATCCCAAAACAAACTTTGTTTATATAAACAAAGTTTCCTTGGCTGCTTTCCCAGACTCTGGCAGTGTTCCCAGACCTGTTCCCAAAACAATAGATTGGTTTGCAAAACAACACTGAGCTTGGTTGTCTTCCTGGAGAATGTTTATCAAAACAAGCCAAGCTTAACCAAAACAACCATCCTCTGCTACCAGAAAAGTTGTACAAGTTTCGAGCTGGCTTCCCGCCAAGTTCCCCGAAACTCGACAACGAGGACCCGCCTCCCAGAGAGGGAAAAAAAAAACTAAGCAGCCAAAGCTATAGCAAATATATATATATATATTTTACATATGAGACAGATACACAAAAGGAAAAATACCACGCACCTGGGGGGGGGGTGGAAGGGGAAGGGAAAGGGAGAAAGACAAAAAGGGGCAAGGACCGAGCAAGTCAAACAGCCAGCCGAAGGCAAACTAGCAGAAATCTCACCACTTCCCTTCGAACAGGCAGAGTGACTTGACGCGACCCAAGGCTCTCCTCTCACACATGGGGGATAGCGGCAGTCGCTGTAGGCCTCGGCTCCAGATAAGCCCGACCGAAACAGGGACCCACCGTTCTCGAACCTCGCCGGAGAGGAAGAGGGCGCGATCCCTCCCACTGGCTTTATTTATACCTCCAGTTACGTAAAGGAATAGCATGGAATACTTCCGTGATCACTTTTCTAGTTCCTTCCTGGTTACAAGTTGGTCTCCAGGAAGGCCTAGGGTGAAACCACCACATTGTCGAATGTCGATAAATATGTATTAAATCCCAAGTGAATTTTATGTAATAAAGTAATGGTATTTCCCCAGGTACACTACAACTGAAGGGAAAGAACAGGACATACTTCTCAGTTGAAAATGTCTGCTGCTACGCAGGCTGCAAACATGCAAAAAATGAACAACCTAGTATATCTTGTAAAAACCCCAAACTGCTCCCCCTCCCCACATTGCCTGCCTCAAAACAGAAGTCTCTTTTTTTGGAGTGGGTCTGTTTGGGTTTTTTTTTACCTCATGGGTAACACAGAACAGTAAAAACCTGTCACTGCTGAGTAGGTTTCCCTGTCTCCTATATCTGTCTTTTGCTCTAACTATGCTGGACACAGCCTCTGAAGCTTATGGTCCACGCAGCTATTAAAGAAAAACACAAGAGATTTCATGCCGTAGTCAATTAAACAGGTGGCTAAGATCTGATAACATCAACACGTATTAATTCACAATCACGATTATGTAAAAAATTAATTATAAGATAGATAAGAATACCTTTTCAGATTTGCAAATAGATACTACAGTGAAAAGAGGTATTGCTGGAGAAACATACACCTTTGTAAGTATTTCAAAGCTAAATTATAACTTAGAGCATTGAAAATCATCTCCTTTAATATAAGTATATAAGTCATTTCTCAAGCCTTAGTAGATTGTAAGACTCTGGCTCTAGAGATGTTTGTGTTTTTGCCAACACTTTTTCTGTCACTACTATGTCAGTGAAGCACTTATGTAACTTAACTGGTCAGTGTAATCCAGCCAAGAGGTTGATCCCAAACAGACTCCACTGACATAGGACAGTACATTACAAGCAGATTTGGAGACTTCAAGAGAAAAGCAATAAACAAGCATGGAAATATTTCCATTTCTGCAGCTGATGCATACCCAAAGTTTCATTTTGTGTAACCTATACCAGATAAGCATATACTTGCAAACTGCTAGCAAAAAAAACAATGCAGCATAGGTCAGATCTGACTGAAGATGAAAACAGAACATTTACAGAATACTTTATGTTTCAAGCTCACACTACATATTAGAACAAGAGCAAGAAATTTTGCAATTCCTCCTTGTTCTCAAAGTTTTGTATTAAGCAAGGATTTGATATTAAGCTGCAGTATGCTGAGTCTGTAAGCAAAGTAGGTGAACTAATTATGAAGTTTATTTTATGATCTAAATCAGTGTAACTTATGCATAATAGCTTTTATCTTACTTTCCTTATTTACATCACTGAAAATATATCACTTGCCTCCGCCCTTAAGGACATTGGCATTTAGCTAGCACAGCACTTCTAAAAGAGCTGCATAAGGGATAAGTACTTAGAATAACATAGCACAACCAAAGCCTGTTTTTTTCCCCACTTAATTATTTTCTTCAGCGTCCCCTTCTCTCAACAAAAAGTACTTTTTTTGTTTTTGTTTAAGCACTCCATTGCTTTTATTAAAAAGACCTCAAGAACTGAGCTAGTACACCCTGTTACTTAGGGTAAGTGCTACTTTTTAATAGGACGTTATTAATTTCAAACAATATCATGCATTGTTTCTTTACTTCTCATTAAAGTATTCCACAACAATTTACAGAAATACTCCTGTGGAAGTGTTAATTTTAACCTCAAATATAATTTGCAGGGAAGCAGTCTGTGATGTGAAAATGATTTTGCTGTCACAGGAAAGCCAGAACAATATTGAATGTTGATTGTTTATTAGTCTGTCCATTTAACTAATTAGCATGATTATGTAGTTGGTGCTCAGTCCACAAGATTTGATGGGAAATAAAACGGCATTAGTAAAAACATAAGGTGACATTTACCAAACTATCTTGCAATGCAGTTCCCTTCCCAATTAAATGCCACCATTCCTGCCACATCCTCAAGCACCCTGTTTCTCTGCTATTTACATTATATTCTCAGTCACTCAGACACTTTACACACTATTTCCAAATCCAGTCACAGTCTAGGAATCACTAAAGGATGAAGTTCAGTGCAAATACAGGCTTGTCCAACTGATCTGTTGCTCCTAAAAACCACCTGATCATTTTTTTATTCCTTGCCATTCCTTTTCTGGTACAACCTGAACTTTGAAAAATGGCAATTTTAAATTCATACAAAACTCTCTTTTTCCTAAAATGAGACAGTGAATACCAAATAAAAAGGTCTGTCAGTGTCATCATTAGATACACAGCATTATCAGCACCTTCCTACCAGATAAGGGAAGTCTATCCTCTGGCAGATTGCAGAGCAATTCAAGATGCTCCCTTTCATAACAATTGCACACAGCATCTCCTTCTAACTGAGGAAAAAATCCAACAATGAGCAATCTAAAAACATGGCGAGAAATACTCAAAAATTCACCTTTGATGAGGGTACTGCTGTGGACCCTGAAGGTGATGCATCTCTCGATGTTCTCAGTGTCCTCTCTTTACCTACAATTAAGGAAAAAATTAATGACTGTGAAATTAAAGATATACATTTCAAATATGCTTACTGGCTTACAAAAATTGCAGTGAAATTTGCTCAAGTCAGACATGAACCTTATCACTCTCTAAAACTACCTGATGACAGGAGGTTGTAGCAAGATAGGAATTGGCCTCTTCTCCCAGGCAAATAAGCAACGGACAAGAGGAAATGGCCTCAAGCTGCACGGGGGGAGGTTCAGGTTGGAGATAAGGAAGAATATTTTCACTGAAAGGGTGGTCAAGCATTTCAACAGAATGCCCAGGTGGTGGACTCAATATCTCTGGAAGAGTTCAAGAAACAACTGGACATAGCACTTAGTGCTATGGTTTAGTTGACAAGGTGGTGTTTGGTCAAGGGTTGGGCTCAATGATCTTGTGGGTCTTTTCCAAGCTTAGTGATTCAATGATTCTGTGAAATCTACATGCTTCATCATCTGATAAATATTGATAAGACTTTCTTCTCTTCACAAGGAGAGAAGAGGTACAGCTGTGTCATTTCACGCATTTAGGAAAACCCACTATCCTTTTCTCCATCATTAACTGAAAGGGCATATCAATATGATTCAGCAAGATGATGTAGTTTCACTTTTTAATATTAATGTAATAATATAAAGGGGTGAAATATTAAACACAGTCAATCATTCCAGGAAACCAGGCAGTGTAGGAACTGGTTTAGCAGGCCACAGTATGTTGAAAAGCCCTGCCATGGGAAACACTCCTGTATTGTATCAGCCACAGGCTACATGTTCTTTGTATGATCAGTGTTTTTCTTATAAGAGTTACAATTGGCAAAATGTCAAATCAAATTCACTGTGCTAATCACAGTCTATGCATGGTCTTGCCACAGACCAGTTTCAGGCAGCCCACAGCAGCAGAAATGGTTGCAGTGTAAACTACTAGTTTTCAAGCTGTGGTCCACAGATTACATCTAAGGGATCTGCAAAAGGTAAATACAAAAAGCAAACATGTTGTCAGTAGGTCTAAATTAACTAGACTATTCACTCTCACTGGGAAACAGTTGACTGTTCACAAATAAAATACAAACTTACCTTGGCTTCCATTAAATTTTTATCAAGACAATTAATGAAGAAATGACTTAAAATGCCTATCAAATACTTACAAAATTATTTTAGTAGAGCTATAAACATGATTGTTCATTATGGCTTTAATTTAATGAGTCAAAGCAATAAAGAGCAGACACGATATCTCACTCCTATGAACTGAGCTATTTTCCTTTTTTTTACTCAATGCCATAAAGTAATAGTGCATACGTATTTTAAAAAACCTACACAAAAATGTAAGGAAAAGTCTATGCAAAACGCATATCTTTAACAATAGGAAATGTTTAAGAGGTATTTGAAAAGGTGGTCTTCAAGTCTTTTGCCACATTTTCATACCATATGAATAGTGTAGACTTAATACAAAGCAAAGATCACTGTTGGAGGCAAGCAAGTTACTGCTGTAATGTTGAAGGCCTACTAATCCATGCAAAAATCTTCACAGCTACTGATGGGTCTTTCAAAAATGCTAATGAAAATAGGTGGGAAAGTTACTTTGACAAAAGTGAATGTTCTAAATTGCACTTTAAATCTCAGTTTGGAGAGGATGCTAAATGGAGAGCATACTTTAAAAACACAGCAATCAACCTTATTTAAGAATTTCTAGTAGACATAAAACAAAAGAAATTGATCTTTAACAGAAAAAAGCTTTTTAAAAATAAATCATAAATAGAAAAACTATGAAAAATAAAAAGCGCCTATAAATACAAAGTATTTGTCAAAACCAAAACCAACAAAATAGAAATAGTCATGTCTTTAATCTGTCATACTCCTCAAAGCACAGAACATCTCCCTTGCCACCCTGAAGTTTTGCTCCTGTGATACCTGCTTTTCAGCTCCATGGCTGGGCCACCTCCTTTTAAATTTACAGACTACTCTAACTCTGCCTCCCACACGCCTCCTTTATCAGACCGGATTCTTTAAAGATTATCTCAGCTGAATGGATTATATGTTTGCACCTAAACAGATGAAAATGAGCTGATAAAAGTGGCAGTAAATTATTCAAAGTTAAGCAGCGAGAAAAAACACCATTTAATTTGGAGACATTATTAGGCCATTTTTTCTGAATATGTGTGGTTATTTTGAACCCAAAAGCCCTACCTGTAAGACTAAACATGACATTTTCCATGCACCATATTTGCCTTCTTGCATCTCCTCCGCACACTCCCCTACAGACTCCTTACTTCCCGGCCCACTGAAGGAATACCACCCTGCTTCTCTCCATGCTCTCCCATCACAGATGAATGCCTGTCCTTTCCCTTAGCCCTTTCCCTCCTTTTACCAAGCTTATACACATCCCCCCAGTTTTCTTCATTAAAGTCCTGTTTTTATCCTAATGTATGAAGAGCTGTAGAGCATGGGACATTCCTTCTTCAGTGGAAGTCATGAGGCCTAACCAATTCAGACAGCATGATTTTAAACAGTATTATGATATTCTAAAAAGATGCCAGATTGAAAGTCCCACATGAAATAGTATATACTTTGTATGTTGTAAATCCATTTAAGTATCAACTAAAATGTAGTGTTGATATATATATGCCCCACTTTATGTTCCTTTTAAATGTGTAATGCATGAGCTTACCTAAGGCAAATCATATTCAAAAATTATTCTAAAAGTATTATTTAAGCCATTTATATTTTGTGAATAAGCCATTTTAGTTCAGTCATCTAGAGGAACAATTTAGTAGTACTGTTTTCCAGGAACGAGCAGTTATAAAGAAATAGTCCTCCGTACAAGCCATCTGGACCCTTAGAACTGATTTAAAGGTGATTGGGAGAGATGTTCAACCATGCAATTTGAAAAAAACAGCAAAAACCACAGACCTAGATGTAAGCTCCTCTCTTGACCAGCATCTTTTCTCGTTTGTGAACGTCTGCTTCTACTTCACTACTTCCACTACTGTCTGAGTAATTCTAACAATATTCTATATATCTGTACTTAAATGATCGAAGTCAGCTCAAAATTTTAGAAATACCCTGAAACATCCCAAAATTTTATATGGCTTTCTCATAACATTGTTTTCCTAGTAAGTATGAGCTGCACACCTACAACACTTCTATAATGTAGAAAAATATATTTTCCTTTTCCTCTCCTACACTTAAGAGAAATTCACGTTCACTGAGTATTGCTACAAAATGTTAAGAGAATTACAACGACCAAATAGAAAGATCATCTGTATTCTACAAGGAGTAAAATAATTCCTCAATATTTAAACAATGCTAACTAAACTATGAAGATCTATTTTTGCAAGAAATGCTATATAATGGTTCAGTGTGTCACTCTGGAAACACAACACATCTATCAGTGAATAAAAAAAATCTAATTATATTATAAAACCTGCCAAAATGAACAGTAGGTTTGTATAGTTCACTAGAAAGCATTTGCAGAAAGGGAAATCAAATCAGATTAATTTACATAAGCAGTATACAAACAGCAGTGGTTACGACCGTAGTATACTAAAAAAAGCAATTTTATCTTTTCTTTTTTTTTCCAAATAGTTTAAATAGGAAAACCTCAAATATTTTCAGAACAAATGATTCATTAGACTTCTGGAAAACATTAACAGTCAAGTTTTTAAAAGGCAGAACACACAGAGTATAGACTCAACTGATATATGTTTCAGATTTCTTTGAGGAAAGACAACAAGATGAAATTGCTAAAAAACAATCAGTTTCAAAAGCCTAATAATACAGTTCTAAAAACATCTGGAGGAAATGTAACAAGTATGTACTTTAATTTCTCCAATTTTTTAATCCCTCTTTTCCCCTGGTTGCAGGAAGAAATGTCTTGATCTGCTATAGATGACAGCAAAGGTTCTTGTAAGGGAATCCAATGAAGCACATAAAGAAGTAACAGAAGGAGTTGATACTAAAAGGAACATAAAGTACTAGAAAAAGCTGTGCGGTTGAAACTCCTACAGTCAGTCTAGAGCCACTACCAAAATAACATCTACAATCTCCCACATGAAATACATAAGGGAACAGAAAGTACAATGAAACAACCAGAGCAGACAACACATAGATGGCACAAAATGTCTAGTTTTCTCATTGTAAAAGACAGTATGTAAAGAAGTGAGTTGCAGTTTCACCTCACTAACCAGTGCTCATCAATAATCCAGCATTACCTTGCTGAGAAGAAATATTTCTTTTATGTAAAGATGACATACTTCTGCTATGCTGGTGGAAAGGATAGGCTTTGCTTCTTTCAGGAGAGTAGCTCCTGCTGCTGACACTAGAGCCAGATCTGCTGTGCGGAGAATCCCTTCGGCTCCCTGGTGATTCCCTGAAGAAAGGAGAGTCCCTCTTATGAGGGGATCGATCTCTCACATAATGAGAAGGATAGAAGCTTTTTCTTCTGAAGTCATCTCTGACGTCCCTTGGAAGACAACACAAAAATTAAAGTTACTTGGTTATCCTTCCAATGTTTCTGGAACAGCACTAGACAATACAACGGTAACATTTTATGCCTGGTAAATACAAATAGATTAGCTGTCTAAAATCTTAAGCATTGTTTACAAGTACTAGGCAATGAGTGAAAAACAAGTGGAAAAATAAAAGGTTGTAATTTTTTCAGATTTCATTGAACTACTTCATTGTTAGAAGCTAATTCCTTTCTATTTCTTGATAATACAGCTAAAATATAAGAAAAAGACATTCAAGAAATGGGAGCTCTCGCAATTTTTTTTTTTCAGATTCAGTCTACTTCCCCTGGAAATTAAGCCTTCATTTACAATTGCTAAAAATGCATATGCATATATTGCTCACACTATTTGGTATTTTTCAGCTTTGTTTTTCTCTTATTTTCAAGGGACTATATCCCTCATTTGACTTCACACATATTGCTATGGGAAATATCACTGAGGGATTTCAGCTTATATCGAGCAAAGACAAAAAGAAATCTGCAGAATATCTATTCTCATGCCTATGTATCCACTCGAGATTAAATCTTGAATGAAAATATGAAGACTTATACCTCCTAAAACTGTTTTTCACACAACACAATATTAATTTTGAACTTCACTGTAAAATGTCCCAGACTCAACTGATTTTAAACCATAATCTAGTAACCATGACAACTTTCTATTAAATTTAGATATTGTTACTCCAGACTATACCATAAATGTGTTGGTTATCTGTAAATTATATTAATATATATTTACATGTACAGGTAAAAAAACCAAACAAAACAACAAACCCAGTATCCTTTTGAACTTGTCCTAAAGAATCTGAGAGCTAACAAACACACAAGCCAACTAATACAAAACTTGTCGCATTCGCCTTGGTCAGAAGATGTATTGCTGAGAGAAGGAAGTAATTCCCAGCTTCTTCACAGCACTGAAAAGAAAGACTTCATAGCATTTCTAGTAAATCAGAATGCATCATACTTCACTGTTCTTCTCTCCTATTTCTCATCATAGTCCAATATTTTAAACAAGTGAATGTCTCACAAAGATGACCAAAAATCTGGTGGTGTTATTTAGCACAATGTAGCTATAGCTATGAGATGTATCCAAAAACAGGGAACTAATGCTTTATCTACATCGTATCTATGAACATTTTATGTAGCAATAGACTTGAAGCAGAAGTTCACACTTGAAGAAAATGAGATGAGTTCAGTACTGAACTATTTTTTCCAGTTAAGTGAGGGTTATTTATTTATTAAAGAACATATTAATCAAATATTTATCAAGAATGAGTTCGGTACAGCCCACTTGTTCTTCCATTTCCTTCTGAACCTCTCTTTACGTATACAGAGAAGTTTATTATGGAAATGTTTACAGAGCCCCAGCTACTGCACACATAAGTGAAATGCTCTAATATCCACATAAGAATTTAAAAAATATCACTGACACATACTTTTAAACAGGAACACATTTGAAAGCCTCATTCTACAATAATATTATGCACCCTAAAATAGAATCTCACTTTCAATTTTTGAATTTCCATTTCATCACTCCACGTTAATTCTTAACTGGACCATATCTCATACAGAACATTCAAACCATTAACTATATTAAATCTGTTTTGGACAGCATAGCAACAGCACAGCATTTCTGATGTTTTCCATTAATGTAACAAACAACACTGAATAGAACAAAGTAAGTATTGTTTTGCTTTTATTTTTTTCCTTAAATACTTAAGCTAACATACACCTGCAATTTGGTAATGAAGGCCCCAATTCAAGCAAAGCAGTTAAGCACATGCTTCAGATTCCAACACATACTCAAAAGGTTTATTGAGCAGGGGCAATATTTAATAGAGATGCAAGATTTTGTGCTCAGTTGTAACTTTAAAATAGAGCTACTGCCCTTAATAAAAAATACAGGATTAATCCCTTTTATATAGCACCCCTGAAATCTTTTTATTTTGCATTCTTATTTCAAATTTAGTCCTGAAAGCACAATTTTGTTCTCAGCAGCATTGCAACAGAAAGTAGTATCATTGTTAACCTCGATGAAACCTGACCAATAAATTCTCACTAAAGCTGACACTCTTGGATGAGCTCCTAAAATTTTACAAGTAAACAGCCATACTCTGATATACCATTCACCAAGGGCTGCTGAGGGAAGAGCACAAGCCTGAGAGCTATTCCAGTTAACCATCAGCTCCAGCTTCCTCAAGGATAAAACACAATTACATAACAGACGAAGGTATAGCTTTCTGCATAGCAGAAGACCAAGAGAATACAACACAGGGAAGGTTTTCAGATGCCAAAGGATCAGAAACACCACCTTCTCTAAGCTATCACTACCGCAAATTGTACTTCTAGTCTCATTCCTTCCTGCAAACCATTCAGCAGCAGTGTTGTGGAAAACTGAGGGCTACAGGAAGTCACGTAGTTTACAACAGGGAGTGGTACAGCTTAAGCTACGTGAAAAAAAACCCCTGGTGTGTCAGTTTTATATTTTAAGAGTACATAAAGGTAAAATTAAATCACTTGCTAGAGGTGAAATGCCCAGGAATGGAGGTGTACTTAGGTACATGATAGCACATCATATGCAATACAGGAAAAAGCTTTGTTGTAAGAAGAATCTCAGTGCACTCTCATTGTGAATTCGTGCTCCTGGGCAATTGTGTGCAATACCTTGTCTCTGGGGCTTCTACATCCCAATACAGACGTTCATCTTTTCAGATAAAACATTAATCTACGATGTGGTCCATCCATAAAGGCCATAACTCTCAAGTTTCACACTGAAATGAGGAGACTGGCAACAAAACAGCATATTGCTGTAGAACAAAAACTGAGGTTCTTCCAATAATTTATAGGTGAGTGCTGTTTATGACCTAGATAAAAAAGTCAGAGAAGTTTTTGTGATCCCTTCCGTCTGAGAATAATTATTGCAATTGTCAAAGGGATAAATATTCCATTTATAGGTTTGGGTTTAATTACTAACCTTGCCTAAAAATAACCCACACAATTTTTTAAATAAATTGAGAAAATTATAGATAGCTTCTACAACACCAGACTTCAGTGCAAAGAGGTAAAACAGACAAGATTTGAACTGAATTCTTTCTGTCTCATAATACACAGGTAAGGGGGAAGGGGAGGGAGGAAAAGTGCAACTAAAATAAAAAGTCCTCTTGCCTTGTCAGGACACTGCAAGGGCTAACAGAGTTCATGAGAACATGATTCAGATGACATAGAAAAAAATAAAATATACTACACCCCCAATCTCTAAAAGAAGAGTTGAGAACACTTCCACTTTTAACATCTTCAACGTAAATGTAGGTGGTGGAAGATTCCAGTCACCATCCTCTCTCCCAGAAGTCATTCTATTTCTTTCCAAAGTATGTGCTTGTGCAACAAACCAACAACCTACTCAGGGTTCTGCTTTGTAGATTTATTATAATCTCATGTTGTTGTCCAAAGATTTTTATGCAGATTTATCATAATCTAAAATAATACAGTGAATTACACCATCATAGGTATAAGTAATTGCACTTGGTTCCAATGGTTTTCATTTGAACATGTGAAATGACGACAAGATTTCTTATGACAACTGTTTTTTAACGTTTTATTACTAAGCAAGTAACTGCAGCACTTGTAAGTGATATTTGCATTTGCTTTAAATGAAACTAAGGTAATTAGGACTAGTCAATGTAATCTTATTAAGAGCTTTCTGCATGAAGGCAAGAGGAAACAGGCATTGTGAAACACTGCTAAGTCTCATGCAGGGAAGGGTAATTACACATATAAAATGTACCAAAAAATAAAAAATATTTAAATGTTTCACAATTTTTATGATGCATGCAATACTACTGAAGTTATCATATCCAAACACCAAAACTCCACACTGATGCCACTTGTCCACCTCACTCAATATGAAAGCCACCTCAGGATGTCATGACAGATCAGAGAATAAAAACTAAGACAACTTGAATATTATATCAACATTAGAGAGAAATGCCTCTTTGTCCTTTAATTAAATAGTAAAGCTGTGCACTTCAACTGCACTGGAAATCCCACTACATTCCTCTGGAAATCCCACTACATTCCTCTTTATCCTTAGTAAAGAGTACCTTGTTTCTACTGTCATCTATAATGTACTATTAGACTTGCTGGAAGATAAGTCCACACAATAAAAGTATATTTAAACTAAAACTCTCTATTATCTGACACAGAGAAATTATGCTCAAGCGTACAGATAAGGACAGAGAAACAAGTAACAAAGAGTCCAGAAAACAACAGATTTAAGTACCAAAGAATTAAGAGCAAACAGTCCTATACAACCATTTGCAGAATAAAGACAAAATACGTTCATTAGACAAATCAAGATCCAATTAGACAAAAGAAATGCATTCAAATGCACGTGATCTTAGTTTCTCTTTTCGAAAACATGGGCTTACTAAGTTCACTGCAATTTCTCTACAATAGAAAATAAATCATAGGTCTGAAGTTCCAGAGGCAGCATTAGTTTTAAGTGATGGACCAACTTACAACTTCTGTAAACAGCTACAACATTTAGAACCGCACTTTGAGCAGCATATCATGCCAGAAGAGTCAAGCAGTTCAGATAACTAGCTCAAGGAATAAACCTCTTTCATTTTATGTAGTAGCAACTGAATCAATTCCTAAACAGACTCAATTCAAAATGGAAATAATTGAAATCTTCTATCTCAATATAAGCTTAAAATCGGAAAGAAGAAGCACAACATGGTATACCGTCAAATACATTTTTCCCCTTATATCAGAAAAACTGGTCATCATTACTGCTTCTAGACAAAGTTCTAATGGGATAGACCTTTCTAAGTAGGTCTTTGTACATTTACTGTCATCCTGCCACAAGCACATGGAAAAGAACTTTAAAATATTTCCCTGAGGTACCAAAGACATTGGTACCCCTTAAAAAGGTGTTTTCTTTGAGATTTTTGACT